GTTTAAATTGAAAAAAAATTTAAACAAGGTTTTTTCCTTTTTCTCAATATTTCTTAGTTTATTTAAAATATATTTAAATTTTACACATACCTATGATGACCTGGAGAAGTAATTAAAATTTACAAATATGTCTTTCTTTCTTGAGTTTATGATTATAGCAACTATTTACTGATAAAAAATGAATATTAATCATGAACATAAGCTTATAAAGTATCTCACTGGCTCTCCCTTACAAACAAATAAAATAAACTGTGTTTAAGTTCCACCTTTGAAAATTTGATTTCCGGAAACTTCTGTGATCAATGATTTTTTGAAACATCTGGATCTCCGGATCACTGTTAGCGAAAAATCTGGATTTTTTCCGGAGCACAATCAGCCCTGGTTGTTTAAATTTAAGTGAAATTTTATACACAGTGGAGTCACAGCAATTTTCCTCCATTGTTTACTTTTTAAAAATAAAACTTAAAATAATCAGTAGTGCCTGCTACTCTGCTGAAGGGTTTCTGCTTTGGGGAACAAGTGATTAATATCCCAATGTTCTTAATTAAATAAAGATGAGGGGAAAAAAAAGAAATTCTATTTCAACTTAAATCCAGTATTTAGTTTAACTTCTAAAGGAAGATCCTAAAATTAATCTTAAGAAGTAATTAGAAGCATAAAATGCATTTTAATCATTGATGTTCATATATTGAAAGGAAAAAATTTTCCTTTCAATGAATTTCCTTTCAATATATTAATATAATATTTTTTAAATGAACTTGGACCAATAAAAGTAAATTCCGTCTTATTTTATCAATAGAATAAAACTTTTTATCATGTTCTTGAATAAATAAATCAAGTATATAAAATTAGTTTATAAATTCTCTATCAATATTAGACTCACTCAATTTATCCTCTAAAAAGACTATGTTGTGAGATTTGTTAACTTATTATTGTAATTTGATTGAGTACTTTAATTTTTAATGTTTTATGTTAGTAATGATAAATAAGTTCCTACAAAAATTAATGTCTTTTTATTATTGCTATTTTTCTATTATCATGTATACGAATGAAAAATGTATGTAGAACGAGTTTTCAAATTATTTTTTTTTAAGTCCCAGTTTTTCAAGCTCTTTAGTTTTGAAAAAAAAAGCCATAATTTAATGCCTTGAATGTAAAATTAAGCTACAATAAAGTACTCGAATTATTTCATTTTCAAACTTAATATGATTTTGATATGTCTTATTATTTAAATAAGACAAATCAAATTATGGTTAAATACCTTGAGCTAATTATTTTCTTCCTATTTATATATTGGAAGAAGTGTAACAATATTTTATACTCATACTACTTTAGTGATGATTTTATCATTTAATTCAGTACTACGATGTTTCAAAAATATAATATTGATTAATACCCATGATATTTATGAACATAATACATTCTTAAAACCAAAAAAAGAAGGGTTAACTTTCTGTTATACATAAATAAAACTAGAATAGGTAGAAATAAAGTGACACCATTCATGCTTTTCAGTAGTTAAGTGTTTTAATTTTTTTTATATTCTTAACATATATTTAACCTTAACACATAAATTAATTTAAAGTTATTAACTTATAAGTCACAAATGTTTACTGAATTTGAAGACTGACTTGGCAAATTGTGGCTTATAATTTTTAGGGTTCCTATTATACAAATTTATGTACTAATAATTACTAACTGTATGCAAAATTGTTCACATAACTAAATATTATTCTTAACTTAAATCAAACACAAATGATCTAAGTGTGAAAACAATTTATTCGAATTCTTTATGAATTAAGGATGAATATAGGAACTTCTCCTAATTATAAGATAATTGAAAATAATAAGACAGTTATCATGAATACAAATCATAAAAGCAATCATTACAAAGCCATTCATATACATAAGTAGCAACATTTAAACATGTGGCAGTGAGCACATTAGGATCGAATTAACATTAACCCAACACATAAACATATATTGCAAATCTGTATTTCAATTTAACATCAAAAATTAAAACAAGCTCAAGCCTAAGTTTAGCAACATGATAAAATATTAAACATTTCAACCTTATTATTAATTTTTAAGTTAGTGCTGGCATTAAAATACTAAAACCGGAATAAAAATGAAAAAAAGCATAAAATGCACCATGAAACACAAAGTGAAAATAAATAAATTATCGGTCTTTTAGTATAGTATCCCGAAAAGGTTTTCATGACTACCTTTTTGTATTTCTTGGTGGTGGGCTACAATTAGCATGGTCTGTGGAGAAAAAGTATTTTGTCATCTACATAACTTATAATTTGAAACGGCACATGAACGTTTCTGTCTCAAAAAGTAATTTTTATTTGTGTGTAGCTCGAAAATAAAATTATTTTAATAATCTTTTTACTCGAACGCATTTCTTGTCAGTGATTAATTTCACACCCTCACTTGACCAATTGGATAATGCTTGTAGGTAAATGAAATCTATTTATAAATTCACTAAATAATTGTTTCATTTTATTTCTTGAAATGAATTCTGAAAGCTGCTAATTAATAGTTTGCTTAAACAGGTTTGAGTCATATTTTTCTTTTTATTGTTAAGGTACTTTTTTGGCTTGTGGTATAAGAAAACTCGTTCAAAATATATCAATTGCAATATCTTCTCTTTTTGAACCAGTATATTTGCTAAAAGCTGTACAGATGCCAGTTAATTTTATTTTAGAAAATTGATGACAAGAAAAACACTTTTAGATAAATTAGTAATTTATTTCTAACTTATTTTTGGGGGGCTAAGCCCTCTGTTCGCTGCTGCTCACCAATCCCAACGATTGCTTTGCAATATTGTTCCCTGGCGTAAAAAAAGTTTTTTCTACGAAAGTTTAAGAAATTATTCTCATTAAGTAATAAGAAATCAGTCTGCTTTGTCTTCACTTCTTATGTTCAAACATTTCCTTATCTTTCTATTAACATCTATTAGTGAACACAATTTTGCGTATAGCAACCATTTTTTAAAATAACATTTAAAATTAAAGGTATATTGTAATTAAAAATTTGGTGAGTGCACAATCGTAATGAAAATTTTTTATTTACCATACAGGCTGTTATATTAAATACAATTTGTGTATGCATCACATTGGGCATGACTCTTAATCATTTAACAAATCTGTGCAACTGAAATTTATAAAACTATATTGATTTAATATGCACCACAAATAATTGTAAAATGTAGACACCGGTTTAAATAAGTTTGCCTAAAAATGCATTGTATTAAGTAATATCATAGAATTACATTATAATGAAGAAACAATTCTTTCAGTTTTTAACTCTTAATTTAAAAAGCAATCAAAATAAATATTACTGGTAAATACTTTTAAATTATGAATGCAAATATATTTTATAGGAAAATGATTCTTTTATCCTGATGACAACCAAAAATATATGAAAATTAATAAGGGAAAACTGGATGTGATCTTCCGTTAAAAAAAATACAACATTAAATGGAAAACTTTGTTAGACCATTCTGTTCGTATTTTATAGAGATTTATAGCACGTTATTGAAAAGGTGTATTAAAGTAACAATTTCTGATTTAATATTGTTCCCATTTCTAATCAGATTTTTGATGCATTTGAAGCATAAGACTTTTCAACTATTTCCTCGAATTTTGTACCATCATAAGATTTTTATATATAGCTTGATATTTTCTATTCTAATTAATAGAAAGGTGTTACGTAATATAATTCAACAAAAATACTGGTATAATAAAATTTATAGTTTAAATTTTATCAAGAAATTGTTGTTACAAAAATACAGCAATACATAGTAGAGAACTTGAAAGGATAAAAGTGTGCAAGGACTTCTAAATAAAATGGAAATTTTGTGAAATATGTAAAACACGTATAGGGAATTTAGATATCTTTTTTTTTAATATAATAATTAATAAAGAGAATTGAAATACAAAAACTGTATTACACAAATATCAAAATCAAGAGCAACATTTTTCATTAAAAAAAGAAATGCAGTAGGGAACCGATTATCTGGAACGATCGAGACCATCGTTATTCCGGATAACTGATTTTTCCGGTTTTCTGAAGTCGTTTTTTTATTGTTAAACCCAACTAAGAAAAAAAAAATCGGAAATAATCTTAAAAAGAAGAAAAAACAATAAAGTAATACACTAATGATTATTTCCAAAATGATGGTAAGGTAAACATCTTTCAAAAAAGAAAGGAAAATCCTAATATCTTATGAGGAGAAAAAATTTTTTTTTTAAAAAGAGGGGAAACTTTATCGAATTTCATTCCGGTTTCCTGAATTCCGGATAATGGGTTCTGTACTGTAATAGATAAAAAAAAAAAAACTTTTTAACAAAATTGATATTTTTATTTATAAAAAATAAAATAAAATATAAGTATAATTAAAGATAGTAATTGAAGTCTCAAAATGATTGCTATAAATGAAATGGCATTTTCATTCAATTTAATTTCGAAGTGAGACATTCTCAAGTAAATGATTAGCTAAATGAAGAATCAATTTTGCTTGGAATTGTTTCAAGAGCTGTGCGAGTTGGTTGAAGTTTATCTAAAATAGAGAGAAATTAGAATTTTTGATTAAGCAAGGATCTCTGAATGTTGTGCTCTATTTGTCAGGATCTTGAATGTTATGCTGCTAGAATTGTCCTTTAAACCTACCTTATACGTTTGAATTAAGTAATAAAAGATAGTCTGTAGAACTTTGCCTTAATGACAAAGAAAGTAACTATTATTTCTTAAACATGCTATTTATCACTATAGGCCATTCAATGCAATGGCCAACCAAATAACATATAATTGACAAAAAAAAAAATAATAATAATAATAGTTTTTCGCCTACCTCTCAAAATGCAAAATAAATGTGTATTAATTAAAGTACTTATAACTGAGATAGACTTCTCAAAATTGAAACAATAAATAAAAAACTGAATCATATACATAGTGTCATACTTAATAGTGTCAATAGATAATAATGTTTCGGATTAAATTTTAATTACTCCCTCTTTTTATTTTTTAGCAGTCATATCCATAGTACACACAAACCAATGGCAGTTTCATTTTCACAGCCTATTAGTGTATATATCGAATAAACAACAAATTTACAACAGGTCAATTTACTATTTTACAGACCATTTAACATGTATATGATAAGACAAAACATTTTTTCACATAAAAATCTTGTTTTGAAATTCGATCTTTCACTTGAAATAAGAAGGCAAGTAACTTACTAACACAACAAAGATGCAAACTTTATTGTATTAATAGTGTTAGGTCATGAATTAAACATGAGAACATAGCTGCCAACCTTTCCTGAGATATCACATAGAAAATATAAATGCAGGTTATTTATTCATAACCTAATAGTTTTCTTGCAGAAAACTATTAGGTTAGACATCCTTCATGGTAATACTATAAAGAAATGGTATAAGGGATTAAAAAAAAAATGCAAAAATTTGTTAACTTTCCAAATTGGTATAGGATTAAACTATTATTGTTGATTAAACAAACATACTTAGAATACTATGAGTGTTCTATATCTTTATTTAATAAATAAAAATATAATTACAAATTTCAATTCAAATCTCCGATTGAAAAAAAACAGTTACTTATTACAAGGATTTAAACTAAATGTGTAGAAAAATTAAGAGATAACATAAATGAAAGATAAAGGCTGGGATACATAAACTAATAGCATGACTTCTTGCAGAAAACTGACCTCCTTCATGTTAATATTATAAAGAAATGGTATAGGGAAAAAAAATTTCAGAAATTTGTACATTTCCCAAATTGGTATAGGATTAATTAAACTATTATTGTTGATCAAACATATTTAGAATATTATGAGTATTCTATATCTTAATTTAATAAAATTACAAATTTCAATTCAAACCACTGATAGAAAAGAAAGGTACTCATTACAAGAGTGTAAATGTGTAGAAAATTTAATAGATGAAAAAAATTCAGAAATTTGTTCACTTCCTAAATTGATATAGGATTAATTAAATTATTATTATTGATTAAACATACTCAGAATATTATGAGTCTTCTACATCTTAAATTAATAAAATTATCATTGCAAATTTCAATTCAAATCGCTGACTGGAAAAAAAGATTCCCATTACAAGACATACAAACTTAATGTGTAGGAACATTAACAGATAATATAAATATTAAAGATAAAAGCTGGGATGTTAAAAAGCAATAAAATCAATCTTGAAAATGGACCATTTTAAATTCCCAAAAAATTATATGCTAATGATAATTTCAAACGATTGTTGTCCTATCTTTGTTGGCAGCTATGACAACATTTTTTAAAAAAAATCAAATATTCATTAATTACAAGCATTTCTTACATATAACTCATTTCTTGCATGCAGATAGACTTATAACATTTCTTCACAATACAAGTGGATTATGTATTCATATTGATATGGCAAACAGTTTACATTCATAGTGTAAATTAAGTGTTTTCTTTAAGTAAATTAAATTGTTTCAGACACAAAACACTGAATAAATTATAAGAAAGCAAAGATCTAGTAAATAGTAAATTTATAACTGTTTTACTTCTTAATCATTAGAATTTTTAACAAAAAAAAAAAATTCAAAACAATTTTTGAAATATTTTTCATAAAAGTAAAATTAATATTGTATAATAAAAACTTCAGAATAATAGTTATAAACATAACATAAATAACAATTTAACAGAATTTGAACAATGGTAATTTGCTATCAATTTTCTTGATCTAAAATAAAATTTTAGTTTCACAACAAAAAATTTCAATGAAATAATTAAAAATAGAACAAACATATTAAAGCTAAATAGTTGCAAAATATTTGAAATAAATTTTATTAACTGAAACTTATTTTGAATAAACATATTACAGCACATGTAGAATTTTTTTTTAATTTCAAAGTTCAACACAAATTTTTAACTATTAACATTGCAATTACAATACAGCTCGATATAAACACTATTATTGTTTTCACATACTTTAAAACAAGTATTGCACACAGGATTTTATGAAAACAGAAAATCTTTATAACTAAAATATATACATTCAAAATTCACAGTCATCAATAACCTTTAAATTAACTAATTTCATGACTTAAATTTTTATCTTCCTTTTAAAATATAAATATTTTAATCTCATTTCTATATTACACATAATCTAAACAAACAAAGACTATAAATTAAATTCCATAACTACTTCAACCACTGAACTAAATTATACAATCTTGTATATTACAATAAACTTTTTTCAAATATAAAAAGTCTGAAAAAATATGTACACGTGATATTAAACTCCTTAAAAAAATGTACATAATCTCAAAAGTACCTTTCCAAAACAGCTAAGAGAACTCAAGGGTTAAAGTTGTTGACTCTCTCTTTTGCAAAAGTCTTCGCTTTTCTGCTCTATGTCATCCTGTCTATCATGATTAGGCTTAACACCCATGTCAGCAGAGTAGGCACGAGGACGGCTTGCAACAAATTCTGTCAACGAAGAGCGGGCATCCTCGCTTTTCCTCCTGCTTTTTAGACAAGGTCGAGGCTGATCCTCGTTGAGCATAGGAGTTTTCTTTTTGAGGATTGGTTTCAGCTCACCATTTGGGTAACTAGCATAGCAGCACTCCTCACTGAAACTAGTCCGTTTCTTGAGAATGGGACGGGGTTTCGACGAACCCCCTCCTCCAGGAGAATCTTCATCAGTACTGACCTTCAGAATGGGACGGATATCAGGGCCACTATTGCAGCTCTCATCTTCACTCGTTGATTTCTTTAAGATGGAGTGAAGGTCAGATTGCTGCCACAGCTCCTTCTCCTCAGAACTCTCTCTGTGTTTTAATATAGAAGGCAAAGTTTTAGAGGATTTATCCTCCGGGGGTGGTTTGAGAATACTATGCAGTTCCTTCTTTTCTTCAATGTATTTCTTACGAAGTATAGAACTAGGTCGCTTTTCACCGTCGGAGCCCACGGAATCACAATTATCATCTGAGATCCTAGCAGCCTCAGAAATGTCCAAATTCTCCAATTTTATAGTACTATCAGCTACTTCTAAGTCATCCTCTCTTCTGCTATCGATGTGTTTAAGTTCAAAAGAGTCATTTAAATTCATACAGCTCAGGATGGGTTCAGCTGCCATCAGAGCACTGGAACAACCATTCTCATTTTCCTTCTCCTCCAAAGATGTATTTTGAGCTTTGTTTTCAGTTGAACTAGAGTTTTTATCACTATTTAATACGCTGCTTTGATGTTGACTAGCATCAGTGTTCTTTAGAGGTGAATTGGACCTATTCACAGGCGGAAGCTTAGACGTATATTTTTTAATTCTCGATCCAGCCAGAGTTCTGAGGCGCGAACCGAATCCAGTCAAATCTCGAGAGTCAAATTCTTGAGCAGAAAGGCATACTTTGTTGGTAGTATTTGCTTCATCTGTTAAAGATTCTAATTCCCCAGCTGAATGTGATAGTTTTTGTTGCTGCAAAGTAGCTGAATGAGCCCTTTTATGCTGTCTAAGTTTTGAATGAGGGCTGTGTGAGGATTTGGGTAGTAATCTAGCTTTAGTAAAAGGAGGGGTATTTTGAAGCACCTAAAGTGAAGAATAAGAAACAACATTAAATTTTTTCACAGGAAAAATGTTTCATGGCATGAATGTAATAACTATCAAGAAAATATTAAAATGTACAAAATGATATAACTTAGTGTTAAATGGGAATTTAACATTTAGTGTAATAACTCTTGCTAATAATATTATAACACTTTTGCACAAGAACTCACNTCTAGCTTTAGTAAAAGGAGGGGTATTTTGAAGCACCTAAAGTGAAGAATAAGAAACAACATTAAATTTTTTCACAGGAAAAATGTTTCATGGCATGAATGTGATAACTATCAAGAAAATATTAAAATGTACAAAATGATATAACTTAGTCTTGTATAATTTTACGATAAACGCACAGTGTGCAAAAAAAGGGATCAACCTGAATAACTTTTGGTCTAATGATCGGACTTTCACGTTCTAAGACTCAATCTTAAAGGCTCAAAGAGGTGACTTCAAATATGGTAATTGATATGTACAGAGAATATTTCAAGTTAAGAAATCAGACAGAAAAACGTACGTTAATCAACATAAATTTTTTTTGTCTGATTCCGATTTCTGACCCCAAAAATATAGGGAGTAGCCACAATCTGGGAAATATGGTCCCAAGTTAGGACCCCCTTAATGTTATTGTTACCTTTTGTGTATTTCACAGTATCTCGAGAACCTTGGAAAAATATTTGCATACAATTATAAAATTCATTCATCCAAAAATAATTCCTTGCAAAAAAAAATTTAGTAAATATTTATTACTTTATTTAAGAATAGTCAAAAAAAAATTTGAATTGTAAGATATACCATTTTTGCATTATTTTAAAGAGTGTAATTTTATATGGAAAAATACAACATTTGGGAGAAATCGGTCTAAAATTCAATTTCTCAGGAACCATTTGATTGATTTGGCTCAAATTTTGAAATATAAAGTTACATTCTTTAAGATGATGCAAAAAATTTTATACCTTACAATTCAAAAATTTTTGACCATTCTGAAAGAATAAAGATTTACTAAAATTTATTTTTTGCATGCCATTATCGTTGAATAAATGAATTTTATAATGATGTGCAAAAAGTTTTCAATTTGCTTAAAAAGTTCTCGAGACATAGCGAAATACACAAAAAGTAAATCTAACATGAAGGGGTCCAAACTTAGGAGCGCTCTTCTTACCAAACTGTTGGGACCATATTTTGGTGCTCAGAAATCCGAAATGGTGGGATCTTGTGATGGCAGATCAGCTGGGTTAAGAGATTTGGGAGCTAAATTCCATTTCTCTCGCAAACTTGAAACTGAGAGATCTGATTTCTTGGACTCTGACGTAAAAAAGAAAAAGGTCAACTTTCATTCCTTTTTATCTAATAAAGTGCATTTACGGAATATGACCAGAAATTTTTTTTTGAATATTTTTAAGTCAGATTTAACTCGATTTGCTAGCCTAACTCCTATTGTACAGGATAAAAGTTCAAGTATAGGTATTGTGACTGGTTTTTAAAGGAGCTGCTGGAGATCGAGCTTGAATGAGCTAACAAGACGTCAAGTTTTCGCTTTTCAGAAATACCCATGTAACACAAAAAATATGTAAACTTAAAAAATTTCTAGACTTTTAAAATCGTTCATGAGACATCTGGGAATCATAATATCTTTCGATTGATTTTGTTGTTTTTGTCATTTTCAAACATTTTTCTGATAGAAGATGGTAGTTCTGCATCCCAAGTGCATTTTAGCTTCCAGCACTGCTGATCTTCGGTCTTAATGTTACTGGGCATGTGTAACCAATGGGATTGAACACTGGGTGAACTTCAGACAGAATTTTACGCTTTCGAAGAGCCAATCAGCTGACAGTTTTCATTATGAGGGCTTGGGACAATAATAACTCAATTCATATGAGTAGGTAATTTTAATCAATTGCGCTAACCCTCAGCATATTTGTCACTTTCTAGATGACTAACTGCGTTATTATGTTAAAGCTAATGTTATTGCAATTATTACAAAGTTAATAATATCATCACAATTATTACAAAGCTAATAATGTTATTTTAATTTACAAAATTAATAATGTTCCTTAAAAATTGTAATAATAGTGTGATTTCAATTCCTCTGAAAATTTGAAGAAAAAATGGTTACATTAATCTAATTATGCAGGCTCGTTTCAACGTGTGAATGAAAAAACGTTTTACAGATGACTAACATTTTCAAGTAATGCAATATCACTGCATTTGATGATTTATAAATTATAAATCTAGTAATTTGTACAAATGTTTATTGAACACATTGAAAATTTACTGTATGTTATGATTGCCAACGATAAGAAATACATTCGAAAACATAGGTGCACAAGAATTTTAAAAGCAGAAACAATTTTCCTACGAAAAAAAATAAATTTACAAGACATTTTGTAGCTCCTAAAATAAATTCTGATACTGTAGAATTAACTGAAATAATTTTTAAAGACAATTTCCTATTTCATCTTCTCCCAGTGCTATTGGAAACTTAAAAGGATGATAAAATTTATTTATTGTGTTGATATTCATACAATTTATTAACAGTTCCCTTATTAACATATTATTTATTAACAGTTTCGTATTAACATATAATTCATTAACAAACAATTATACACCGAAAATTTCAAAAGTGCGAAAAATGTCTAAAAAATGAAACAACTCTGCTTTTAAACACACCTAGCTTCTGCCTGAATAATTCTTTGTCTCTATCACAATTGTACGAATTCCTAAGAATTATGATAAACAGTTATTAGTTGAGCGATTTGGTAGTTAGACACTGTAGAGAACGATGCTTTTTAATACAAATGTCCTTGCTTCTTTAGAAAAATTTATGTGTTTGTTGACGTTTCAATTGAGAATTTGAATTTCTCTTGAAAACAGCATTTCAAAAATATTTAAAAAAAATTTACTCTGAAATGACATTATCTCAGACTCAAGTTTTGGGATATGTAAAATCCTATCCAATATTCATCTTTTTTTAATCATTATGTGGCAATTGATAAGCCAGGATGGTATAAAGCAAGTGACTTGAAAAAAAATTATGAACTTAAATAATAAATATATTTTAACTTGATTCACTTTTTTAAACCATAAAAATCTATAACATGTTGATTGTACAGTTTTAAAAAGTATTAAAAAAATTTCACAAAATGTTCAATTTTTATAAATTTTAAATAGGAAGTGCAACCAAAAGATATTAACCTATATTAAAGTTTTTTTTATTTTTCAAAAGCCATCTTTTCCACTTTAAATATATATATACATATATATGACAGAAAAAAACTTTTAAAAAAATCAGGTTTTTAACAAGATTGAAGTCTCAAACTTGGACCCTCATCAGATATTAGGAAAAACTAAAAAAAAAAGTTTCATTGCGATATTTTGTAATTTTTAGGGTGATTAAAAGTCATGATAAATAAAAATTTGCCAAAAACAAGGAGAGGGCGTGACTTGAGAAATTCACCTGGGAATGAAACTCGGTATATTAGTAATGTGCCTTATGGGCGTTTCACGCCTTAAAATAAAGTGCACTAGCAAGCTGAATTCAAGAAAAAATCATTTGAGAATTTAAGAATACTTTACATGCCAGTTCATGTCGATAATAATGCTATAGAAAATCTGACTGACAGCAAGACGCTTCGAGTTTGAATTGTACTGTGGGCTTTTCTTTCCAATAGACATTTAATTCGTTTTAAGATAGTATTAATTTAATTTTATTTATTGTATTTTTTAGATTAGATATTTTTTGATTGAACTACAGTAATAATTTATTATTTCAATGGTATATGCTGAAGCCGGTATGTATGCTCAGGGTGGCCACTCAAATGAGGTTTCAAATTTCCAGGATTTTTTCAGGATTTCCAGTAAAAATCTTAAAATTTCCAGGTCAGCGTGTTTTTTTCCCCCCTGCTAAAGTGCAGTATAGATACATGAAAAGTGTCAACATTAGTGTATTAGTCAATATAGTGTAGTATTTCATTTAAAATTTTATTTTTTAAATATATCATCTTGAATAGATCTGGAAGAAACAATATGTTTAGCTTGCAGAAAATAACGCTTTTAATGAATAAATTTTTTTTAAGTGTTAAATAGTTTTTGCTCAAAATGTACCAAATAGCAATGATCCAAAACAACCTTGGATAAATACTGTTTAATATATTTTTATTAAGCGAAAGAAAATAATTCCAGGTGATTAGAAATCAATAAATTCTTATATTTATTTACATTTCAATATAGAACCATTTTATACTGTATTTTATACAAACAGTGTTCTTTATAAAATTCATTGAAATAATTTTCTTTAAACCAATATCATAAGTCAAATGTTTAAATAATGTTGTTTGTTTCAAATTAGCACAATTATTTTAAGTCATATTCAGTATTTGTAAACGAAAAATTTTCAATTTCTTGTTGCATATTCTATAGGAAAAAAAACTGGATACAATTCTTTAACTTTTATTCTTTTTTTCCCCGTTTCTTAATGGAAATTAGAATGTATTAAGAATTCCAATCTAACATGGTTTCCTAGTTTAGATAAGTTAATTGGTTTTGTTTTTACACCTGGGCAATTCCATGGTGTTGGAAAAAAATGAACATTAATTTCTTAGAAAAACTATCTTACAAAAACAAAACTTTGCTGAGAAAAATAATTCATTGGACAAAAGCTTTCAGAAAAAGAGTGCAAGATAAAATCTCTAAATTATAAACAATTATTTTTTTGAGAATTTTATAAAGTTAAAAATACTAAAACATTTTGAATTATTTTGTTAAAAGAAAAAAATACCCCCCAAGCAGAGGAACAAACTTCAACAATTAATTGAATTCAGCCCACAGAATAAAAAAAGACTTAAAAAAAAAAAAAANTCCAAACAGTGCTCTTTATAAAATTCATTGAAATAATTTTCTTTAAACCAATATCATAAGTCAAATGTTTAAATAATGTTGTTTGTTTCAAATTAGCACTATTATTTTAAGTCATATTCAGAATTTGTAAACGAAATTTTTTTAATTTCTTGTTGCATATTCTATAGGAAAAAAAACTAGATTCAATTCTTTAACTTTTATTCTTTTTTCCCCCGTTTCTTAATGGAAATTAGAATGTATTAAGAATTCCAATCTAACATGGCTTCCTAGTTTAGATAAGTCAATTGGTTTTGTTTTTACACATGGGCAATTCCATGGTGTTGGAAAAAAATGAACATTAATTTCTTAGAAAAACTATCTTACAAAACAAAATTTTGCTGAGAAAAATAATTCATTGGACAAAAGCTTTCAGAAAAAAAGTGCAAGATAAAATCTCTAAATTATAACCAATTATTTTTTTGAGAATTTTATAAAGTTAAAAATATTAAAACATTTTGAATTATTTTGTTAAAAGAAAAAAAATACCCCCCCCAAGCAGAGGAACAAACTTCAACAATTAATGAATTCAGCCCACAGAATAAAAAAAAGACTTAAAAAAAAAAAAAACACTTGACGTTTATGAACAGAAGCAAATATCATAATCCTTTCTTCCACATTTTTGCCTTTCTTATACTACATAGTCCCATAACCTCCAATGAGGTCAAAGATTTCTCCATTCATTTCCCAACATAAAAGAGTTAGAAATGGCATTCTAGTTTAACTGGGTAATAATAAAGAGAATTTTAATGCAAGAAAAGTATTGCTGAGTTGTTGATATTTCAACTTCTTTACGATAAATTTACGTCTAAATAAAAGTGGATATAATGGATGGTAACATAATTTAAATTAAAAGAAAAATTCCAGCTTTTCTTTGAAATTCCCTGACTTTTCCAGGTTTTTACCAGTATAAAAAAATTCCCTGATAATTCCAGGTTTTCAAGGTGGGTGGCCACCCTGATGTTGTACTAGTAGAGCCACTTACATTAATTAGAAAAAAAAATTACTTCTTTAGTGCTTCATTGTGCCTACAGAGATAAACCATGATATCTAATAAACGCATTAATTATTAATCCACAATTCATTCTCTTAGTTGTTATTTATCTAAAATCCGATCAACATTATTTCCACAAGCACGTAATCCGAACCAAGCAAACCCAAATCAAAGACAAAATATTAATAGTATATAGGTAAATTATATATAGTGCTATAATAATAGTATTCATAAATATTGCTTATACAGTGTAACGTCCCATATCCGGACGTCCCTTTTCCGGAAGGGTCAATTTCCCGGACACTTTTTAACAATCAAAATAAACAAACATTTCTTCATCTTCCCCACTCTCTTTAAAAAAAAAATAAAAAAAAGTATTTTGACAGGTTTTTTCCTTTCTTAGCTTCTAGTGATCTATGCATTAAACCCATAAATCAACAGAANACCCTAATATCTCCTCTAAGTGCTATAATGGTCAACATTTTGAGTCATAGAACTGGTTTCCCACCTGTGTGTCTAACATGTGTTGGTCTAACTCTGGAGACAGGGTTTTTTTTTTTTTTTTTATACCGAGGATGCATACCGATTTATTTTTTGCGTCCCAATTTTTCGATTTTATTAAAATGTTTCGATATCAAAGATTAAAAAGTCGGGAAATTTATAAACTTTCTTCAAAAATTTACGCGTCCCGCGGGACGCGTAGCGATCATTTTTTTGCGTCCGATTTCAATTTTTTGCGTATTTTACGCGCTATAGCGCGTAAATGTCTTCCCTGTATTACAGTTATCTCTTTTATAATTTACGCTCAATAATAATTTAAAGAATTAAAAATGCAAGTGAAAAACAGTTAGAATGTAACAGCAGTGCAATAGATCAACGAAGCGGTTGACAAATTCCCGAAATCACCCTACGAATAGTTTTTTAAAAGGATCCATAGAAGTACGATTTCCCCTCCCCCTTTCTTCTGCTGTAGGTGTGAAGAAAAATAACGTTTATTAATAATACATTCTTCTAAAACAAATTTGTGGGGCGAAATGCTTAAATGATCTAGTTTGAAAGTTAAGTTTATTCCCACTTTCATCTGAAGGTCAACTTAATTATTTTTACTTTTAGAAATATACAATGAACTATTGTTTTTATATTAACAATTGTCTTTACAAGATTTTGTTTCATTACCCTTGCAGATTTCTTAAACATTTTATTAGATTTTTTCTGTCCATAAAAATTTAAAAAAAGTGCCACAATGCTGTACAAGACCAGTACATTTTGGAGGAATTATTTCAACTTTTTAATTATTATAACCATTGTTTATAAATATTATTACATCTAACCAATATCATTTTATTAATAGATTGAAAATTACTGTGAAAAACGTCTTCAGCACGGATGAACACCAAATGGCTTGCTGTTACGCAGGTTTCCTACCGCTAAGCCACTGCAGTGTTAATGTTATTAAGATTTAACTAGTATATTAATTATGCTTAAATCTTAAAATATGTTTTCTTTTCGTGTACTTTATTATTATTCAAGGAGTGAACAACCTCAAGAAAGACTACTAACATATCAAGTACCTCAAGGTGAATTTCCGAAATCAATGTAAAATAAAAGAGCAATAGTGTACCAAAAAATTCTTTAAAGAACAAATAAATATTTTGAACAAAATTTCAGCTAAAATGCTGTATAAACACGGAAACTGTAAAAAGATTTTTAGAATACATTATTTTTATAACTCTTACACCAGAAAAGGACTATAATGACAATGGAACAAGGTTTTAATAGCCATTAAGCTACTCTCGTATATTTAAATATTTTTTTTTTAATAAAATATTTAAAAATGCAATTAAATGAAATATTTACTTCATTGGGGGCTTTTTGTTGAGAACTATACAATGCATTAACAGATCCAGGAGCAATATTATGTTTTCTTTTACTATGATTAGTCTCTAAATTCTGTTTAAGCTTAGTATCAAATTCTTCATCAGATGAGCTATCTTTTGATCTATATGATGATTTTCTGTTCTGGGACTTTCCTGGAAGAAAAAAAAAGAATTTTAGCAAAACATTATAGTAATATTAACTAATGAAATTTTGAAAGGTTATATTATAATCATAAAAAACAACTTAACTTTCTCTAATGCAATTTTATAACATTTGAATCTTGTTTAGTTATTATGATGCACACTTGGTAGCAAAACTAGCATGGCCGGCAGGCACCACAGATTTATTTTGGAATTGCAGACAAAAAAAATTTTGTTTTTGAACCTAAAATTATGCTAAAAAAAAAACTCTCTTCTGTATTTTTTTCTTCCCCTTTTAACCGTCATGCAGAGCTTGCTTTGATATAGCTGTCTTTTAGGACAATTTGTAAAAGTGGGAAGTTAGGCTAAACTTCCAAGTCCTTGGGATTTAAAAATATTTGCAAGCTTCCCCTGAGTTCTATTTTAGTTTTCAGGTAATTCTTTGAAACCCAAAATTTCAACATTTGAAACACAAAATCATTCTTAAAATTATTTTTAGTGTTAATTTATTTTAATATCCTAAAAGTAATTAAAATTTTACTGTAATAGAATTTTTGTTTTAGTAATGCAGTAATTTCTTCATGAACTGCAATGTTAGATACTCTTGCCTTCTAAAACTCACTAATTGCAACATTTGAATAAAATATTTTAACACAAACTCTGCAGATAAATTTTAGAATTCACCATAATCTTGCTGCACATCAATACAGAGGGTTCTGCTACTGGGAATGCACATAAATCTAAATTTTAACTACTTTTCTCACCTTCTTTAAAAATCTACTAATAAAAATTACAGATATATACCTGCTAATATTGGCAAAATAAACTAACGGAGATTTTTCCAGCGAAATTTTTTAGGCTATGAGGCTTTTTTAGGCTACACCATGCTTAATCATGTAAGTCAAAAAGAGAAATTCGAAATAATATAAGCACTTGCATTTAGTGAAGTAAAAAATATGTATATAAATCTTAAAGAAGATTTTTTAAACCATTATTTATAATTACTTAAATTATTAACACTCAACATACTACATTACTAGCAATGACACTATCTTTTGAGGAATAAGAGAAGTATTTTCGCCATCAGCGGATATTTTATCGACAAAATATTTTTCAAAAATTTCTTCAACAAATACAGAGAAATTTGAGAAAATATGGGTAAATAGGAGATAATTGTAAAATACAGGAATCTTTGTTAAAAAACAGGATATTTTGCAGATATCAACATTAAAATTTATAAATCCTCTTTATGCACTTCTAAATCAAAAAAGTAAGAACGAACCATTATAGGCAAGAGGAAAGTCGATGAAGTCCATCCGATTAAGACTAGATTTGCGTTTTGAGCTTTTATCTTTATAGTGCTGATATGGTCGATCAGTTTCTTGCATTTGGTCATTAGCATTCTTCATAACCTGTATAGTATACAGAATAGCTATAGACAAACTAGCAAAATAATAATAACAATTCTAGAGTAAAAAGTCAGTCAACATTTATGCTGTTACAAATATGCTATATAAATAACAAAAAATAATAATAAAAATTCCAGCTATTTATAATCAGAATTTTTTTCACTTATTTACTAATAAAATTATATCTCAGGATGCATTAAGGGAAATTGAATAAAAATATCTGGTGTTATGTGAAATACTAGTTATAGTTTGTAAAGAAAATATAAAACTATTAAATGCCATAAATGAAATGCTAATAATGCATAATTATTCTAAATTCACGGAAGTCAAATTAATGCACATAGTTTCATACAAAATTATTAACTTTCAGTTTTTCCAGTTAGAGCTGAGATATTTTGACTCATGGAAACAATAGATAATTTTAAAATTTATCATGGGAGTATAAATATCTATATATAGATAGAATGATTCTACTTAAGAGATAATTTATCTGCAATTTAAAAATATAATAAGTATTCAAATTACTTGTTTTCTTAATGGCATAGACATATATTTTTGGAATAGCAAATGTAGTTATTTAAGTTATATGTAAGTATTAGACATTTAATCTTTTAAATTTAGAAAATTATTTAAAAAAATTATTTTATTTAATTGAAAAATTTTTGCATAGAAGATAATTCTAAAAATAGTTTTATATGCTACGAAAAAAATTGTAGAATTGTAATTTTAACTAAAAAAATATATTTTTATAGTATTTTAAAAACAAATATATGTAGAAGTCACAGAATGAGAAAAGAAAAATTTGTATTTCAATGCAATAGCAATATATATATTACTTTTTTAACCATCATAATTTCTATTTAATAGCTAGTAAGTTGTTTGTTATGAGGTTCTAAAAACAAGAAATATAATCAAGGTAACTTGTTTTCTCTTTTGTGCCACAAGTTATTGCAAGATTACCTTAGCATTCTCATTGTACATGGAGAGGCAGTTTAGCTCCTTTTGATTTGTTCTTTTGTGATCAAAATGAATATCATTATCTGAGTTTAACACCTTACCTAAAAGAAAATTGTTAAGTTTATAAACAAAGCGGTACATTGGTGATATCATGAGATAAAAAAAATGCTAAAGAAATTTTTTAGAAAAATCCTGATAAACTAAAAAAACACTTAATGTAAACATAATTTTATTCAAAATATCATTAATTCTCACTTACCACAAGCTGTGTCAGGTACAGAAGACTTGTTTACATTTCTTATCACAGTCTCATTTCTATAAAAACAAGTTATTAGTATTTGCAAAATCAAAATTGAATACATAGATGTAGAAAAAGATTTAACCTTTTATGTAGATAAAATAATAATAATAAAAAATCACCAAAGTTATGAAATTTTACTGAATTCCACAACTATGATTGCCAATGATAACTAAATACATACTTACTAAATTAAATAGGTGAATAATGGGAAATTAAAAGCTATAAAAAATTATATGATTTTAAAGCATTTAAAAGCTGAAAAAATAACTTTAAAATTTATAATTTTGCTATTCATTATTACTTAGAAACACATATTCACTTAATTTTTAAAAACAATTCCACAAATGCTTTTTTAGATAACAGAGATTTGGTCACTATAAAATATTGTGAAAATTAATGTAATAATTATATCAAAACAAAGCATTTTTAACTAATATTAGATCAAGGTGTTGAAATGTACTAAGTGTATTAGAAATTTAGAGTGCATTACTCATAGACCCTTGCCTTACAATCAATAATTATTTTTCTAGAAGCTTTGGAGGAAAAAATTATCTTACCAAAATTGCAAAATGTAGAGGCACTAATTCAAAGTTATTATTTTTCTTGTGCGTCTCGATATAGATGTTGCTTTCAATCAATAAGAAAGGATTTCGTAGTGTATTCAGAAGTGGCAACTTACTAAAAGTCTTAAAACATTAGCTATGAAAACTAATTCAAAGGGTCAAAAGATTTAAATTTGTTCCCAGTTTATTTATTTTTTATTAATATATTCTTTAATTATTATTATTCTTTAATTTTATTAATATCTANGAAGTGGCAACTTACTAAAAGTCTTAAAACATTAGCTATGAAAACTAATTCAAAGGGTCAAAAGATTTAAATTTGTTCCCAGTTTATTTATTTTTTATTAATATATTCTTTAATTAAAATATATCTAGTTAAGGAATTTGTTTACAAATCAACAGTATAAATTTATATTTAGTAAAAAAAATAATAATAAAAAAAGAGAAAAAATTATAAAATTAGTTTTTCTGTAGGGAAATAGGTATTTTTTTTATCAGCGGCCTGCAAGTAAATCTAACTATTTATTTATTATTATTTTATATTTTGCGCTAAAAGCAGTTGAATTTAACTTGTGCCTGGATAATGTAAAAGTGTCAGGAAAGTTAAAAAACTAAACTAAACTCAGCGGCCCTAGAGGGCCAAGGCCTACTGTGCCCATTTCAGTTTTCTTGACCTTGGGCTGCAGGAACAGATGTTCCGGTCAGGTGGTCAGCCGAACGTGGAACCCCCAGTGTTTAGTTCCCAAGCATACTTGGTACTCATTTATCAACCCACTGAAGGGATGAAAGGCTGAGTCAACCTTGCCTGAGTCAACCTAATCAAAACACTAAGACATTATTAATTGAAATTGATATAAAAACTGAATTTATTGTGCCTTCCTGAAAGCTAATGTTTTTCTGTTACCCTCTTCTAAAGAATGTTGTGTGCATCTAACGTAATGCTATTAAATTAGAATCCAATCTATATTCCGTCTGAAAGAGTAATTACAAATGGTGGAAAAACACCTGACAAAACAACATATTCGTACATACATGGTTCTATTTTATATGGCTAAATATTTTATATTTAGCCATATAAAATATATATTTTATATGGCTCTATCAATCTATAAATAATACAAGCTACATGAAAAATAAGCAAAATTCAGAACAATAAACATGAATAATAGAACTTCATTTTTAGTATGAGGCTACAAAATAAAAAATAATAGCTTCATTTCTTAAAATCATAAATTACAAAAACAATGCTGAAATATTAACAGCACTTTTTTGTTATTTTTTTAAATGTTAAAATGTTGCATTCCTATTCAATATTTACATAGATGGTTCTAAAAATAAATATGATAGTAGTTACCTATAGCAGGCATTCATGGATGTCATATCCTCAAACCCAACAGACCTCCTTCTAGCATGAGTCCGTAAAGACCTCAAAGATAACTTTTCATTTTGCTCAGCCAGATAATTTTGTTTAGCAGTGGTTTTAAGTTGATTCTGGTCTCCATGCAATGGTGACCTTTTATTTTCATCTCCTTTATCCGAGAAATAATCTGCCTTTTTGGTATAAACTGGTATGAAAGACGCATGATTCAAGTGAGCATTGTTATTTTGGCGAAAATCAGCATTTTCTTTTTGAGCTGTTCCATCTGAAATTACACTCCTCAAGCCTGATGCTGAGCTTGATACTTCATTTTTAGACTTGGAAGCTATGCACATCGTATCCATTTTGGAAGGAAGAAAATAACTACAAAAGATTAGATCAATTAGATTGAAATTAAATTAGACAAATTTAGAAAACTAAAAATCATCAGGACCGAACCAAAATTGCGAACCTGCAACTACCATGCTTTTGGTATAGTGCTAATGGCAATGCAATGAAATACAAATTTATAGAAGATTATAAAATTTTATGCTCTAGAACCATGACTCAAATAACAGTTTTTATAAACATGCTAAACATAAAAAATTAGCTGCCTTTGGAACAACAAGTTTGTTGAGTTTTAATAGAATTGGCTTAATATAGCCAAAAATCAACATTCTTTGGCAAGCTAGCAACATTTATTTTTAAGGAATTCTCCTATCAAAATGAAATAAATTTTCTCCATCATAAAAATCTGTGTAAGTCTTTTACCCACAAGAATATACCGATCTAAGATAATAGGAATACGTTTTGAAACATAAATTAAAGAAAACATTAATAAAATCACAAATCATTAGTATTTATATGGAAATATTTATAGTCTTATCAAAAGTTAAAATTAATCTGAAACCTTTATTAAAAACAGAATTTTATTTTCCAATTATTTATTTATTTATTATGACAAGAAAAGGTTTTTTTGCTATTATAAAACAATTTTGAGACCCAGTATTCAAATACTAACCTAAGTCTTTCAAAGGTGTAACTAACCTAAGTCTTTTAAAGGTGAGTAATCTAATACATAATCAATATATAATTGTTAACAATCAATGACCAGTTTCCTTTCTTAATCAAAAAAAAAAAAAAAAAAAAAAAAAAAAAAAGATTTGCCAATGACAATTTTATTTGAAGAATACAAAGGTCCTAGCATTAGAGTTAAATATACCTAAATGACTTAATGAGAATAAGCAAAGGCATAATCAAAATTAACTGAGATAGTTATTATTAGAATTTCACTAATGATTGATAACTCATGTTAACCCACATATTTGTTGCTAGCATGTCTTTTTAAACTCTTAAAGAAAATGAATGTTGAACTTTAACTTTAGCAAGCTGTAAGATATTCTAATTTTCCCTAAATTTTCTCTGTTTTTATTTATTTATTTACTTTTTTTCAACTATTCATTTTGTAACCATGCTGTTGTAATAACAGTATATGCATACACTAATATTAAAAAAAATGTTTTTTTTTTCTTCTTTTTTTTAATGCAGTATGTAAACAATATAAGGAAAAGGAAAATACTACAAAATAATACAAAAAATATTAACAATTTAACAATTTATAGGGGAAAAAATCTGTGTTAAGCATTAAGAACATTCAAAAGATAAGAAATGGAAAGCTTAACTTGTTACAACAAATTTCAAAAATGCATTTTTTTCTCTAAAAACTAGAAAGACTTCTTAGACTAGACCTTTCATCAAATTTCATAGTGATCATTTCATTTCATATTTTTTGATGACCACATTATTTTATTCAGTTGCAACAAGGTGACCATTAACCTTTCTTTTAATCAGCAAAATTTAATGAGCTACATTAAAATCTTTATATTTAAACTATGGTTTATAACAAAATTGATTCATAATTACTAATGCTCCTACTTTTGAAAAAATCCTTATGTCACGCAATTGGTTCATGAAATAAGTGTCTTACTATTCTAGGTGATTAATTATTCAAATTGTTAGATTTTTCATTGAAAATGATATTTTTTAAAATGTTACTAAGGATAAAACTTTGGAGTGCTTTGTAAGAAACAGTATAAATAATTGTAGTTTTAATACAAAAATTATTGAAATTGGAATTGCTAAGATGTCGTGTTTATGCATAAGATCAACTTAAAAAGTGGCTAGCTCAGTGGGTATACAGTTTGCCATAAAAGTTAACCTCTGCTGATTTTCTTTTTTAAGTTTCTTATGCATAATTACCCTATTCTCACCAATTTTAAGGGCAAGTAATGATATAGAAATCTTCCGTTTATTTTCTACACTTTTTGAAATACTCTAAAACAAAATTGGATACACAAGGCTCAATCATGATGTCTTTAAATCATAGGTACTAAATGTGAAAGCTAATTTTACCATATTTTAAATTAAAATGAATTCAGTATTCTAAAAATTCTTGACATTAGGGATGAAAACTATGTTTGGCATGACAATCCTATATCTAACAAAGAGAAAAACATAAATCAGTGTCAAACTTTTACTCTTGAATGGCCAGTTCTTGATTATGGAATGCAAAAGTAAATTCAGAGATTGTTTATAGGCAATGTTTATAAGAACGAGTCAAGGAATAATTTAAAAAAATACAGAATAAATAAATAAATATTACAGTAATATAATTAATATCCATTAATAATGAGTAAAATGTTGATTTCAAAAGTTTTGGCATATTCTATATTTGAAACACTTTAAAGAAATTTTAACAAATTTTTAACTTGATAAAAGTATGAAATTATTCAACATTGGAAAAAAGTTTACCATATCAAAATAGATAATAAATAACAAATAACACTCAACATAAACATACCTGTTTACTCTTACATCTTCTCTACACCCTGCAAATTAAAAATTCAAAAAATATAAGGAAAAAGAAATCAGACATTAAAAAAATGAAATCAAAACAGTAACAATATTATGAAAAAACAACATTAGAATATATTTTTAACAGAATGGTAATAACAACTTACTTTAAAAATTATCTCAAATTAAATAAATATACGATTTGCATGATGTAGTAAACAATAAGAGTTTACTGATTTATAAATATCACAGAACATTGGTGACTGAAAAATATTATTACAGCTAAAAAAGTTCATTATAAAAACACAACTCACAACAACACAGCTGAAAATAATTTTCGATATTAAACTTCGATTTGTACGATTACAATTTAAATGATACATTAATCTCGATTACGATTAAATGACAAGAAATAGAGTAAGGCGTATAGCTAGGCCACCGTGCCGTTTAGCACTTGAGTACGCCATCTAGGTATTAAATTTATTTCCTGTCAACCATATCTTTCTTTACTTTTTAAATTTAAAAAATACCTACTTTCACCACTACGATTATACGATCAATTTAGTTTTGAATCCCGCATAAGATCTGAATTTTAAAAACAAGTCATACAACATATCTTTTTTCAACGGCTTCAGATTTCTGATCTCAAAAATATAGGGATAGCCACAATTTGGAAATATGGCCCCAATAGCTTGGTCAAGAGAGCAGTCCAAAGTTTATTAATGTTTATTTTATTTTTTTGGGTACATGGCCATTTTTAGAAAATTTTTTAAGCGAAATGAAAAATTTTTGCTCACAATTGTAAAATTTGTTTAGAATTCGTATAAAATTTTTACGTCAGTCTAAAGTATCTAATTTTACGAGGCAAAATACAAAATTCGATCGAAATCGGTTTAATAGTTCCTAAAAAATCGAATTTTAAAAAGTCGTATATTCAAAAGTCTTTTTCTCAAGAACTATTCAACCAATTTTGCACAAATTTTGTATTTTGTTATCAAAAATTACTTACTTTAAAATGATGTAAAAAATTGTATACCTTACGATTGCAAATTTTTTCAACTATTATTAAATAAAATAATAAATATTAACTAACTTACATTTTTTGCATGGAACTTTCTTTGGATAAATGAATTTTATAATTATATTCAAAACATTTCAATTCGCTTAAAAAGATCGCGAGATATGGGGAAATACGCAAAAAATGGAATTAACATTATGAGGTCCAAATTTTGGATCGCTCTCCTGACCGAAATATGGGGACCATATCTCTCAGATTAGGGGTATCTCCTATATTTTGGGGGTCAGAAATCCGAATCCGTGGAAAAAAATGGTATGTTTGTTCAGAAAAAGTGAGATTTTGTAACTGATTTCGTAACTTAAAATATCGTCTGCGCTAATTAAATAGCATATTTGAGGTCACCCCTTCGAATCATTAAGATTGAGTCCTGTCCTAGATCGTGAAGATCCGATATTAGATCCAAAATTATACAGGATGGACAGTTTTTTTTATTTTTTTTTTATTTTTTCTTTTTTTAGTTTACTGCACTCTTGCTTCAGTTGCTATTCTGGTATTTTCCTTTTTACTCGAATATACTTTATTTCTTACCAGAAATACCGAACTTCATAAAAAAAAACTGCCTAAGGAAAAATATTGTTTATATCATTTACTAAAACAAAAATTATTTAAAATTATTATTACGATAAAAAATAAAAAAAAAATAAAAAACAAGGGAAATTTTTTTTTTAAAGTTCGGAAATTGAACCGTGAGGTGTGTTATTCCCAACACTCGAATACGCCTCACTGGTCAGATTTATGGAAATGTATTAAAATGTTTCCCGCTTTTATATTTTTCCCATTTAGATTGTGAAAAATATATATTTTTTAAATTTCTGCGATGTTTCCTTTAATCACTATGTTTGATACAGTATTGTAATCCATATAGTTTCACAGTTTAAAAATTTTAGCTGGTTTGAAAATCGAAACAAGAATTAATGTTCTTCCAACTCCTATGGCTATCCATACTCTATTGAAATGCATGCCTAGTATTGCTATAAAAAAAAATTCTACTATGCGCAGGATATGATTTGAAGACAAAACACTGGAGCGTCCTCGAAATATGTTGCGATTTGAGGACAGCTATATATTTATGGAAAATGTGTGCAACAAAGTTGTTTTTTTTTCTTTTTTAAAAATTAAAAAAAAAATTCTGTTTAAGAAATATTTACACTGGATGTGATTTTTTTTTCTTGCGAATCGGAGATTGAAGTGACTACTGGTGGCACAGAGCAAAACTCTCTACATATGGCATCACTTCACATGCTTTCACCTCAGCGTGTGGATAGTCACAGGAGAAGGAAGTACCCTAGATTCCATCTTGATTTTCAAATAGATTAAAAAATTTTATGTTAGGAAAACATATGAAACTGAAAACTGCATTAAACATCGCTCTAAAAGGAAAATATTTTTGGCAATTAAATACGAAAAATAATATGGAAGGGGAAAATATCGTAGTACATTCCCATACAACTGAGAAAAGGAGAGAGATGGGGGTAAGATCAAGACATGAAAACGGTCGCCTAGATTACGTATTCTAGAATTGCGATTGCGAATAAAAACCTGGTTAGCTGGTTTTTCACAGGCAAGTGTGCATGCGAAAATAATTCTAAACAGACAGATTAACCCATGAAAGTCTAACGCTTTTCTCCGACCTGTAAGGCGCAAATTCGGATATTATTTAAATAAGATAACAAAGTCTCTTAAATCAAAACAATTAAATTTTCATATCGACAGAAATAAAAGGGAATATTTTTTTTCTATAAAGAGAATCGGTTATTTAAATAACTAATTTACAAGTTTTGGGCTAAATATTAGGTGTACTTAAATAAGTGTCTTAAATAAGTATAAATAATACACGTGAATACTTGTGGTAAAAGTCTTTTGCCCAACTTTTAAAAAACTGCGTCTTTAAACACAAAAAAAAAAAAAAAAAAAAAAAAAAAAAAAAAAAAAAAAAATCCTAAATTTTTTTCTTCTTATTTATTAAAAAAAGGATTATGGATCTTATTCTATTCATATTGTCGTCAATCACTCCGCCGAAAGATCGCATCACCGAATTCATTTCCCCAATATGATCACTTCACTGACAGCTTACATCGAAGATGTCATTTCACCTTAACGATCATTCCACAGACAGCTCCCACCACCGACTCGATCATTTTCCCGACAGCTCATATTGGCGATCGAAATGGGCTGCAGGTGGTGTAGAGCAGAACTCTCTACCTATGGCAACACTTCGCATGTTTTCCCCACTAGCCTGTGGAGAGTCATAGAGGAAGGAAGTACGCTAGCTTCTCTCTTGATTTTCATTTAGATTAAAATCTTTTGAGTTGGAAAACTATATGGAACTGAAAACTGCATTAAACATTGCTCTGAAAAGAAAATATTTTTGGCAATTAAATACGAAAAAATAATATGGAAGGGGAGAATATCGTAGTACATTCCCATGCAACTGAGAAAAGGTGAGGGATGGGGGTAGGATCAAGACATGGAACCGGTCTCTCTCCAGGTGGCGTATTCGAGCGTTACGATTGCCAATCACCTACCTACTCGATCATTTCTCCGACAGCTCATTTCGCTGACTCGATCACTTCGTCAAAATAATCAATTTTTACTTAAATTTTTTGTCAAACTTTCTTTATTAATTTTTCAAATTTTTTGCTCCGGGAAACTTTTTGAAATCCTTTTATATTCGATGTGCATTATTTTACGGTAAATGCAGAACAAATAATGCCTGGTGTTTTCTACACTAGAATGCACTGCAAGCTCTTTGCTTCCTATATTTCCTTGTTACTGTTTACGGTTTATTATGAAGCCATATGGCTCACAACGTGATCATTGTGATACGAGACTCTCTTCAGTAGTATTTCTTGTAAATGTGAATTTGTTATCTGATTTAGTATGGATGGTGTTTTCAACAGAAATGTAAACAGTAACAATCTCGAGCTCGGCACCTACTCTAGTTCCGGTTAAAAAGTTTGCAGCTGCTTACAACATGTTATTCTGATAGGCGATGTTTTCAAACGGATAATTTTGTTTTCAATAAAAGAAATAAATTCGATAATTTCTGAGCTCAAATCTGCCATATTTCATAAGATATTAAAGTTAACTAGGAGGCTTCGCCCCCTGCTCGCTGGTGCTCGCCAATCCCCGGAAGTGCTTTCGCAGTTCATTTCGGATTGCTTCGCAATCCGATGCTCGCTTTGCTCGCTCATTGGATACGTTCTTAACATCTAGCTTTTGTACACTATTTTGAACACTGAAGTTCCGAAAACTTTTCACTGCAGAAAATTCTAAACCTGTGCATTTCAATATTAATTTGAAATTGCAAACAGTTCACATATTTTTCTTAATCACACTATTCTAAATTTCAGTTGTTGAGAAAAGTAACTATTGTAAGTTTTGTTTTAAAGTCTTTCCCACCAGAGGGCTAAAACCATGTGTTGAAAAACAATATGAAATAGTACTGAACACCGGATGTAAAGCATCGGCTTCGATGAAGATAATTTTGTGAGAATTTTTTTGATAATTCGGTGAGAATTCACCCGATTAGCCATATGATGCTCACTACGTGCTCTTGCACGCCGAAGTCTATCAATTAAAACGTATTAGCGTTTTATATAATATAGATGAGCCATATGATGCTCACTACGTGCTCTTGCGCGCCGAAGCCTATCAATTAAAAATGAAAACTGTTGCCAACGCGAGAAAAGAAATATCATCGGTTTTATTGATACATACGTACGTGTTAGCGTTTTATATAATATAGAAGATATGTAATTCTGGTGAGTTTGAAGTGAAAATTTGTTTTAGTTTTTTAGAGATATATTGTTAAAAAAGGTGACATGGTTGCTAGATTTTGAATAACTTCGCTTTTTGACAGTCTTGATATGGCCTCTTTCCATAAGTTTATTACCGTTTGTTCTTGTTGCAAGCTGTGCACCATCTTACGTTAGTGTTAACACTTTTAGCAGTGTAAACACCAGTATTGTTAGCATTGTAAACACAAGTAATAAGTAATCAAATACATTGTTTGAAAGAATCTCAAAACACAATGATGCCAAATGGCTTTAAAATACAACGGAAGCAGTAACCCGTAAATTTAGGCGGTACCGAGCTTGCAGCGTTCCCTGGTGTAGAAAACACCATTCATACCGATAGAAATTTAGAAAACTTCCGGTGTACCACTCCGCTTATGGTACACTTACAAGGCGATGTGTGAAAAGGTTTACTTAATATTCTAGGAGGTTTAATTATTGTAATTTGTGTTCAAATTTACACTTAATTTTATCATTTATAAGAAGTTCCCTGTA